TTGAAAGTGAAGAGGACTTGAAACACTTACTGATGGAGATCAAAGACTGGAGCTTTCAGTATGGATTACACAATTGCACCAATAAGCAACATCATGATAGATTGAGAAAATATGAAAGTAATCAAACATTTTGTTTTACTTCGATCCACAATCAACAACCATAGAAGCAGCAGTCAAGAAACCAAATGATATACTGCATTGGACAAATCTGCTGCAAAAGACCTCTTTCAAGTGCTGAAGAGCAAAGATGTCACTTGAAGACTAAAGTGTGCCTCACACAAGCCAAGGTATTTTCAACTGCCCCATATGCATGCAAAAACTGGACAATGAATAAGGATGATGAAAGAAGAATCGACTCATTTAAATTATGGTGTTAGTGAAGAATGTTGACTATAGCGTGGACTGTCAGCAGAATAACCAAATCTTGTACTTCTTGGAAGAAGTACAACCAGAATACTGTTTAGAAGCGAGGATGGCTAGACTTTGTATCCTGTACTTTGGACATGTCATCAGGGGGGACCAGTCTCTAGAGAAAGACATCATACTTGGTAAAGTAGAGGGTCAGTGATAAAGTGGAATACCCTCAAAGAGATGGCCTGCACAGTGGTTGCAACAATGGGCTCAAACACAGCAATGATTATACAGTGGTGCAGGACTAGATAGTTTTTCATTCTTTTATATGTAGGTCATTATGAGTCAAATTGAGTCGATGACACCTAAAAACAACAACAGGAACTATCCATAACTGTGCACACTATGTGGTTTATTGTATATATGAATATATATTCAGCGTACAAAATCATGTATACACATATGCCCACAAATACACTTATATATGCATGTGCCTGTACTCCTATAATCTTTCCCACACCTGTAAAGCATACATATGTACCTATGTAACCACTGACATATTTTTTGCTTTTTAGATTTGTTGTTGCAAAATTGTATATGTTATAGTATTTTCTGTTGTTATTATTGTTAGGTGCTGTTGAGTCAGCTCTGATTTGTAGTGACCCTATGTACAAAAGAACAAAACACTGCCCAGTCTTGTGCCATCCTCACAGTCTTTGCTATGCTTGAGCACCTTGCTGCATTGTGTCAATCCACCTCATTAAGGGTCTTTTCCTTTTTTATTGACCATTTGCTTTTTCAAGCCTGATAGACTTCTCCAGGGACTGGTCCTTTCTAATCACATGACCAAAGTAGGTGAGACAAAGTCTGGCCATTCTTGCTTCCCTCTTCTAGGACAGATCTGTTTGTTCTTCTGGAAGCCCATAATGTTTTCAGAATTTTGTGCCAGTGCCACAATTCAAAGGCATCAATTCTTCTTTGGTCTTCCTTATTCATTGTCCAGTATTTACATGCATATAAGGTGATTGAAATGCCATGGCTTGTGTTAGGTGCACCTCAGTTTTCAAAATGACATGTTTTCTCTTTAACACTTTAAAGAGGTCCCTTGAAGCAGATTTGCCCAGTGCAATATGATGTTTGATTTCTTGACTGCTGCCGCCATGGGTGTACTCTTTAACAACTTCAATTTTTTTTCCATTTATTGTGATGTTGCTTATTGGTGCAGTTGTGGAAGTGTAATTCATACCGAACACTGTAGTCTTTGATCTTCATCAGTAAGTGCTTCAAGTCATCTTCACTTTCAGCAAGCAATGTTGTGTCACCTACATATCAGAGGTTGTTAATGAGTCTTCACCAAATCCTGATGTCACATTCTTCTTCATGAAGTCCAGCTTCTTGGATTATTTGCTAAGCAGGAATATTGAATAAGCATGGTAAAATTATATAACGCTGAAGCACACCCTTCCTGATTTTAAATCATGGAGTATCCCCTTGTTTTGTTTGAACTGCCAAACCAAAAAACCAAACTCACTGCCATGGAGTCAGATCTGACTCATAGCGACCCCTCCTTGGGTTTCTGAGGTGGTATCACTATGGAAGTAGATCACTCAACCTTCCTTCCTAGGAGTGGCTAGTGGGTTTGAACTTCCAGCCTTCTGGTTAGCAGTGAAATTACTTAGACACTATGCCACCCAAGCCCCTGTTTGAATCACAGCCTCTTGGTTTATGTACAGGTTCCTTATGAGCACAATTAAGTGTTCTAGAATTCCCATTCGCAATGTTATCTACAATTTGTTACGATGCACTCAGTTGAATGCTTTTGCATAGCATTTACTCTGCTTGTCCCTTATTCTTGTGTACCTCAGTGTCTTCATTTACTTTGGTCATGTTGTACTAATTTCCCCTATATTGTTTATTGTCTTTCCTGTCTCCAGAATTAACTTATGTCTATTATCTAGTAAATGATTCCCTCTCTTTTCCCTTCCCAATTCTGGTAGCCATCGAAGAATGTTGTTTTTTGTGTATATGACTATTCTTGACTTTTTATAAATGTAGTAGCATGTGATATTTGTACTTTTATGTTTGACTTATTTCGCTGAACATAATGGGCTCCATATTCATCCACATTTAAGCTGTCTCACAGACTCATCGTAAATCATAACCTTTGCATAGTATTCCATTGTGTGTATGAACCACAATTTGTTCATCCATTTGTCCACTGATGGTTACTTAAGTTGTTTCCATCTTTTTGCTATTGTGAATAATGCTGCAATGAACATGTGTATATATGCTTGTGTTACTGCTCTTGTATCTATAGGATATATATCTAGGAGTGGGATTGCTAGATCATAAGGTATTTATTTCTCGCTTTTTGAGGAAGCAGAATACCATTTTCCATAGAGGTGCTACCATTTTACAATCTCACTAGCAGTGTAAAAGAGCTCCAATCTCCTCACAACCTCATCAGCATTTGTTGTTACCTGTTTTTTTGATCAGTACCATTTTTGCAGGGGTAAGATGGTTTCTCATTGTAGTTTTGATTCGCATCTCTCTAATGGCTAATGATGCAAGCATCTCTTCATGTGCTTTTTAGATAGGTTGAATGTTATCTTTGGTGAAATGTCTCTTTATGTCTTTTGCCCATTTTTTGATTGGATTGTTTGTCTTTTTTATTGTTGAATTGTTGGAATTTTCTATACACATTAAAGATTAGTCCCTTTTCAGATGTCATTACTATTTTATTTTTTTTCCCCCAGACTGTGATTCTCTTTTTCTCTTTTGATGAGTAGAAGTATTTAAATTTTAGGAGGCCCTAGTCATGTAGTTTGGGAGCTCCAGTGATGTAGTGCCTAAGGCATTTGACTGTTAACCAGAAAGCTGGTGGTTCAAACCCACCAGCCACTCCTTGGAAGGACGATTGGGCAATTTACTTCCGTAGTGATACGGCCTTGGAAACCCAAGGAGGGTCTGCTATGAGTTGGATCCTACTCGATGACAGTGAGCTTGAGAGTCATGTATTTTATGTTCTATTGTTCATGCATTTTTAGTTGTGTTTTATATTTATGCTAAAAATTAGGACCCCTAACTTTGACGCAGGAACTTTACAGTTTTAGTTTTGACATTGAGGTCTTTGATCCATTTTCAGTTAGTTTTTGTGAAGGGTGTGAGGTATGGATCCTGTTTCATTTTCCTGCAAATGGATATCCAGTTTTGCCCACACCATTTGTTAAAAAGACTTACCGTGGTTTATTTTCCACTCTCCTTTGATGTGCATTTGGATTCTTTCCAACTTTTGCTATAGTAAACAGTGCTGCTATGCACATTCTTATACATGTTCCTTCTTGCACAAGTGCATGAGTGAAATTGCTAAGTCACAGGGTATATGAAATGTTCAACTTTAAGAGATAGTGACAATGATTAATGTTCTATACAATCCCCTCTCTCTTTCTCATATATGATGGATGGTTCATATTGCTCAAATTTACACCTGATACAATTAAATGATGAAAACAGAATTTTGTATTTTAGTCAGTATAAACTAAAGGAAAAAATATGTTTCTTCTATAAGCATAACATTACATACTCTAAAAAACTCAGTGCCAGTGAATCGGATCCGACTCATAGCAACCTCTCCGTGGGTTTCTGAGAAGGTATCACTACAAAAGTAGATTGCCAATCTTCCTTCTGAGGAGGGGCTGGTGGGTTTGAACTGCCAGCCTTCTGGTCAGCAGTAAAATGTCTTAGGTACTATACCACCAGAGCTCCCAACATTATACAAGTGTACACAAAATGGAATGTGTTAGATCATGTCAAATCTAGAACCAATACAACTTGTAAATTGAGACAAACAGACACAATACCACTGCAATAAAAGCTATACCTTTAATGGCACAATTCTCTTTAATGTCTAGGGAACTATTAGCTTTTAAACACTACAAAGTACTCAATTAAAAGTTCACATTGCAAACATTGTTGCCCAGACGTACACCAGAACTCCATTCGAAATGAGCTGGTATGGGAATCTGAGTTCTTGTTTTAGCTACAGATAGGAGGATATTTCATGTGAAAAGGCTCTCACATGTACTTTCTCTTTAACTGGCAGAGGTGTAGATACCTTTAGCAAGTCAAATCCTGTTGCTGTTGGGACTATTCTGCTTCAAAGAAACCCTATAGGATAGAGTAGAACTGCCTTATAGGTTTTCCAAGAATGTAATCTTTATGGAAGCAAAGTGCCACATATTTCTCCTATGGAGTGGCAGGTGGGTTCGAACCTCCGACTTTTTCAATAAGCAGCCAAGTACTTAACCACTAGGGCTCCTTAACAAGCCATACAGTGTTATAACAGCAGCTTGTCAGTATTCATCAACAAACACTATTATCAGATTTTTATGGCTCTTTCTCCAGTTGCTGTCATCCTCTGAACTGTATTTTGATTTAACAGTTACTTTTTGTGTTTAAAAATTGCCTACTTACAGCTGGAGCAAAATACTATATTTAATTTTTTTAAAATGTCTATTTTTCTCCTTTGAGTGGAAAACCACTGGAGTTTAAACGAACTGGCTACTTAGAATTATAATTCCATTTTAAGCTACATTTCATGAACACAACTTTTCCTGGCCTGAGAAAAAAGAAGTTGAAAAACAACCTACCTTCACGTAGAGCTGCTGAAATTCCTCCAGATTCAGTCTCCCACTTGGACAGTCCTTGAGAAATCCCTTGTACCATTGTTTGAGCTCATGCTCATTAAACTCTGTGCTCTTCACCAGGTCCTCCATCACTTCTGGGGCCAGTTTGCTATTCTGCTTCCCCATTCTGCCTGAAGAAAAAGAAATTAATGCAATTAGCACCATGGCTGTGATCACTTCAAACTTGATTGGAAGCCAAGCTAGAGTCCAGACCAGTTCCTTTGTCAGAATTTCCTTGAAGTGTGTCTGATCAACATTTCCCCGTTTGTCTCCTTCTACTTGGAATTCTGGTAAAGAGATGAGTGAAAATGACTGGCGGTTCAAAAGGATATAGAGCTTATCCTAGACACGTCTTCCACATGGCAGTGATGCCCAGAGGGAAAGGCAATCATCATTTTTTAGGCTATTCAGAGTAGGTAAATGGAAGCTGTTTTTGTCTCCTTCTGTGAATTACAATTAATTAGCACTTGTTGCCCAGGTGACTAATTCAACATTTCATTCACAGAGATAGTGAATGGGATTATTAACATGAAAGATAATGCTTTCTAAGGAGCTCTGGTGGTACAGTGGTGAAGGCATTTGGCTGCCAACTAAAAGGTCAGTGGTTCAAATCCACCAGGTGCTTAGAGGAAGAAAGATGAAGCAGTCTGCTTCTGTAAAGATTTATAGCCTTGGATACATAATGGGAATCACTATGAGTCAGAATGAACTCGATGGCTGTGAGTTTGGTTTTGGTTTGGTTATAAGGCTTTCTAGCCAAGTGCTCAAGAAGTGACTTGGAAAATCTGATTAGCAATTGAATTTAGTAGATCTAGATCTAAAGTTATAGCTTTTCTTCAAATGAAAACATCTTGCTTATTTATTAGGTACATTAGCTCTATTTTTCTCCTCTCATTTTCAGTAACTTCCTATAACATTGCCTTCAGAGTTGATAAACAAACTATTGGTGGCTTTTTCTAAGGACTATTTCATGAGCTTCAGATGACATAATTCCAGGCTGTTATTATTTCTGATGATAAATAAAAATTATAGTGCAGAATATAGTTTACCTATATCAGTTATGTGCTAAGTTGTATTGCTAACATCACAGTAGAGTGTATGGGGCAAGATCATAGGTTTTGGAGTCATTCCTGACTTTTACTCTTGATTCAGCCATATATTATATGTTGTTATTTAGGACAATATGAATTGACTTTTTATGCTTCAATTTCTTCATTAGTAAAGCAGTCATAATAATAAAACTCTTTTAAATAAAGACTGAAAAGAACACTTCAAAATTAAAATAGTTGTATTCACACCACTGCCATGGAGTCGGATCTGACTCATAACAACCCCTCCTTGGGTTTCCGAAGTGGTATCACTACAGAAGTAGATTGTCCAACCTTCCTTCTGAAAAGTGGCTGGTGGGTTTGAACCGCCAGCCTTCTGGTTAGCAGTCAAACACCTTAGGCACAATGCTACCAGAGCTCTAATAGTTGTACTAGTACAGAAAAATCAAAGGTGATTTTTTTAAAATTTCCCTTTAATGCCATAGTTTATAATAATAAAAATAAGAATTGAGACAAAACAAATTAACCACCAATTAATTACAGGTGTCAAGATAAACTTGAAAAGCTACAGGACTATCAGAATGAAGCCACTCCTCAGAAGGAATCTACTTTCGTAGTGATACTGTCTCGGAAACCCAAGGAGGGGTCGCTATGAATCAGTCCGACTCAACTGCACATAACAACAACCATCAGAATGAAGAAAGCACCAAGGTCTTTAAAACCTTGTTAGATGAAAAAACAACAAAAAAAAAGTAAAAATAAATGAATAAAATCTTGTTAGAGGAAACAACAGAGGCGTATCTAAGTTGTGGCAGGTATGGCATATGCCCTGGGTGCCTCTTGGGGATGGGGCACCCATGAGCAGTTTCTATTGACCATCGTGTTTTCCATGATCAGCTATGAGACCTCACTCAGCAATTTAAAACAAATTGCCATAGGTGATGTGAGATGCACTGCTGGGAGACTGAGCTAGGTTTTGAAGAACTTACCCAGTGGCCTTAGTCCTTCAATGAACCTGAGACACAAATTCCCTCCCAGGCTTAAGGTAGGTCTATACTTGCAATATGGTAATCTCATCCCATTCTTTATTATTACTATTTTTTTTAACCTCCAAAAAAAGATTCTTCACCCTTCAACAGTAACCTGCCATAACACCGAACAATTCTTTCACTGTAATGAAAGCAAACCATTCTTGCTGCTTCTAAGGAAAGCTTCCTCCTTGGTACTATCCCAGCAGCACCCACCACTAAAATGGCCATTTTTCTTCCAAGCTCTTCTGTTTGAGAAAAGGACCTGAGGGTCAGCAACTATGTCCTTTATAATGGAGCTTCTCTATTTATATTTGCTCTTAATTTCAAATTCCAAGACTTTTTATTAGTCAACTAACTGTCTCTTAATTAAAATTTACTCTAGGATTCCATACTGGATATAGAAATCAAGAGGGTACTCAGGAGTGAGATTTAATTAAGAAAATTGCAATTCTACATTATCGTGATTCCAAAAGATGTTACCCAAGTCTTTCAGTACTTCATTTTGCTCTTTCCAGTGGAAAATTACAAACTTTCATGGTGAATTATTAAATAAGAATCTTACCTAACAATAATAGCTTTTGAGTATTGATGGTTAGCTGTGAGGTAAGCATTGAGTTGAAACTTACCAAACTATCTGTAACCCTTACAACAACTCAGCAATGAGGAATATGGTCAGCATTTAATAGGGCAGCTGTCTGAGGCTCAGAGCATTTGGATAACTTGTATAAGATCATACAACTAATGAATGGCTGAGCTAGAATTTGAAGTTGGATCTGCAAGCCTTCAAAGCACAATGACAGATAGACAAGTGGATGTAAAGCATTTCAGGAGAAGGAACAGAAAGCAAAATCATGAAAGTTTGAGAGAACTGAGTCAGTGCTACCAAACACTGAAAGCAAGAATGAAAGAGAGGTCAGCCATTTTGCCTGGATGACTCCTTTATTTGGAAAAAACTGCTAGGTTTACTAAAACCCCAAGCTTAGAAGTGAGGTTGTATTAACGATGGGAAAAATGGATTAAGAGGGTGCCTTTAGAAGCTCAACAACATGTCAGTTTCTCTGTTGAGTAAAAAAGCTTGGATTCTCCATGGATCATTTGTAACATCCAATTTAGTTCCAGCTGACTGGGGAGAGGATGGTCTCTTACACACAAGGGGAATGTTGTCAAGACCATGAATCACAGTTTTGGAGACTCACATGCATAACTTCATACTTCCTGGATATGGTTCACGGTGAGCCCCATTGTTCAGCTGTGCCTGGAAATGGGTGAATCATGCAGAAAATCAAGTCTGGCCTGGCTCAGAGTAGCATTGACCCTGCCTTCATCAGGCCTCATCAGGCCCTGCTTGGATTAATGATTATCCTTCTTCCTGGCCTCCCTGATTCCAACCCACCCTCTACACTGCCACCTGAGTGAAACTTCTGAAATACAAAACTTGTAGTCTGATTCTTTAAAACCCTCAATAGTTCTCTGCTGTCGACAGGTTGTAGCCTCATCTCTTTAGCATGGCAGAAGGCCGACCTACCCATATTATCGTATTTTGCCGGTCTTTCTTTTCACTTCATATGCCAGCAATAATCATGACTTTTCAGCTTCAGGGAGCTCTGGTGGAGCTGTGGTTAAATCACTGGCTGCTAACTGAAAGCTTGGTGTTTCAAACCCACCAGCTGCTCCATGGGAGAAAGATGAGGCAGTCTGCTTCTGCAAAGATTTACAAGTTAGGAAATCCTATGGGGTAGCTCAACTCTGTCCTGTAAAGTTGCTGTGATTCAGAATCAACTTGGTGGCAGTGGTTGGGTTTTAGTTTTCACAGGTTCCAGGACTTGCATGCTTTCATATTTGCATCCTTTGCACAAAAGCTGTTTTCTTTTCCTAGAATGATTTCCCCTTTCATCTGCTCAGCAAACTTCCTTCCTCGCTTCAAGTAGTTTCAACTCACATGCCACTTCCTCCATGAAGCCTTAGAAGACTTTCCAAAGCAGACTTGGGTACCCTCTGCATCTATCTCACGGTATAAAACTTCCATTATCATTATTTTATTTCTCTATTGCATTGTTAATTTCTTGGGATAAAAGACTGTCTTTCATTTATCCTTGCATCTCTGTACTTACTGTGATGCCTGGTTCATACTAGGTGTTCAACAAATAATTTTTTGTAATAAATGAGAGAGAATGAGTTATTATGAAGTAGCTACTCCAGGACTCTGTCACTGGCTTTCATTTAGTATGCTTCTTCCCAGGAAAATAAGTCTCATAATTATCTATATATAGGAGAAGGGTCAGTATAATGATAGCTATAAATATAAAATGCAGGCAGCAGACAGAAGGAATTTTCTATTTAACTATATGGAAAATAGACTGTTCTTGTGGATACTGTTAACTTGTCATCACTAAATTCTGAACACCTTGATGATGTTTCAGTATCCCCAATGCTTGCCCAAAAAAGGTTCAGATGGGTTGACACTTTTAATCTGTTTCTTTTATTCTGTGGCTACAGTGACACAGGCCAAATAGTATCTTTGTTATGCAACCAGAGTGACAGGAAGGGAAAAAATTACAGTAAATCTTCTGATGTTCCTAATAAAGAGAGTCTATGACAGAATGTGAGGGAAAATGTCTCCGACATACTCTGTGATTTTGTGCAAGATCCTCTTTTTCTCTGTCACTCACTTTCCTCACTTCTAAGATAAATTAGTTGGATCAGATGATCTTTAAGGCCTTTCTATGTCTATCAATCACTAATTTTCAACACACATTTTCCAAATATGAATCATAGACTTTACATTGGCTTGTCTCAAAAATGTCAGTGCATGTTGCCTCTCTGGATTCTTTACCTGAGAACCCGTCAGGACTTGAATGTGTGTTACTGAAGCAGGGAGGTGGCAGAAACTTGAGTGAATTACTTTTAAGCTGGGGTTCTAGGCTTTAAGATAAAAACTAGCCCTGCCCAAAACCAAAGAGTTTTCTCACAGCTTGAGATGCAAAAGAGATAGGGTCAGTACTTGGCACAAAATTGAACTAGTGGAGGGATTCAGGTGGGCAAGTAGACACA